TTGAAAATTGCGGATCATTCATACTTCCCATGGGAGTAACCGAACTTCGATAATTTGGTTGCAATTGCGGCTTTCTATAAGGAATTGCAACCAAATAGATAAATCATCTACTTTCTGTGACCCCTATTTATGGTGATGTACATCCATCTCCATTAAAACAGTGGCCCCTGACCGATCGCAGAACGTACACAATTATCTTTTTTAAACGAAGTGTATAAAATCCGCTTTGCTCCAAATTCGCAAGCCGATAGTGAAAACTATTAAATTGTTTTGTTTGATGTTAAATAACACGAGAATTGTTTTCAGAACAACAGGCAAAGATGTAAAGATCTATCCTTCTGGTAATAACTTAGAGGATCTTCAAAGCGGCAGCTTATATTTAACATGGATCACAATGTTGGGAATTATGGCAACGAGTTTGCGAATCTAAGTACTGGATATCAGACAAAATAATTGGTGTACTTTGGGGACTGTGTACGTTTTATGACTCTTCGCTGATTTATGGACATCTATTTAAACAATAATGCACTTTGAAATTGAGTAGAATGTTTACAGTTTTTTATACTAATGGCCTTTAGTTTGTCCACTGAGCTGAGTTGCAAAGCTTGCTAAATCAGGCGGCGAAGATTCGATACTTACAGCCCCACCAACCGCCGTCTTCCGAAGTACCAACACTGGAGTTAGTGGAACTAAAGGCTTTCGAATGAAACATGGTTGTGTGGAAGCAAGGAATCAATGTTCAACAATGAAGCCGATGAAAGTGCCAGGAAGATTTTGTATGATAGTCCAGTATACATGCGTTTATTCTTCACTAAACAGCGGAAAACTTGAAGAAATCAGCCTACAACCTTGAAACCTTGCTGTGAGGAATACGCACGCGTAATTGTGGTGCGATATAAAGCTTCCCATTTCTGTTGAAACCCTCAGTTTAGCTCGAAGTTACCATTGCTGCCATGAAATTGCTTCAAAGAGGACGTCTGCTCAGCTATATTCCCGAGATGTTGTCATTATACAGAGGCATCTGTCACTGGATTCTTAGATCGATGTTTTTAGATGCACTAGAATAGCTCCAAGTACCTTCGAGCTGAAACTTCATCAAAAGTTTGCAGCAAATGCAAAGAAGTCGAAAGTACCGTTATAGTGAGCAGTTTTTAATGGATATTCTTTGAAGGAAGCATGAAGAAGACCTAGTGTCTAATGGGTCTCCTCTTCCAACGCGAAACTGCAATAATGTGCATCTTTGATTGTGCTGCTCACATATACACTATGAGGAACGTTGTTCTCTTTGAATCGTGGCAGAGAGAGGAATACGCAAGTCATTTTAGAAAAGCTGGCCTACTAAAGGCAACTTCACCACAAGTCCTGCACTAGCCAGCATTCCTAGGCCCGATGAGGCGTGTTGGACCTCCACTATTCGAAATTCATGTGCGATCGATTCATTCCAGGTCAGCTGACATTGTTTAACTGGAGAATGAAACATGTACACAAACACTGGCTAATCATACTAATTACGTTGGTGCTCAATCTCTCTGTGACAGATCCACTACGGGCATTTGATATATACGATGACCATAGACTATTCAATATCATAACAAGCCTCGGAACGGAGATTTCAAATGGTAAGTACACAGCCGTGTTTAGTAATGGAAACATCCTGAATTTTCCTAAATGCGTATTTCACACCCGCGCAAGATTGTCTATTGGTTCCTTTTTACAAAGAAGTCCATTCGCGCTCATAGGATGTACAAAATTCTGCGGTTTGCAGAAATGCCGTAAGTTGTGACTACTGAAATTCGCTTGTGAGTAGTAAAAGGCACTCAGCTATTTCTTACCAACTGCAGAGGAGCGAAAAAAATTATGGCCTATGTCGTATAGTGGTATCTCATACGCTTCTTTTCTCCAACAACTTTTAGGGAGCGTGAAGTGTAGGAAATAAGCTTTTTTAGTCCAGGAACATCGTGGTCAGGAGCGAACATTAATTAACTGGATCTGACCTGCGCATTTTCTTCTAAACTACTGGACTATGTAATAGAAACTTCGACTGTCTTACCACTGCTGCTGAATCCTTTTAGCCGTGACATCGAGGGCCTTACCGGTCTTATCCTGAACACAGGAGGAGGCATATCAGTGAAAACAAAGCTGGGTTCCATCCTGCAAGAGGTTGCATCGATCATCTCTTCACCCTCCGACAGATTCTGGAAAAACGACACTGCTTGCAGCAGCCAACAATGTTGTGGCAATGTCTGTGGAGCAAAGGCGTCCCCCATAAATCCTCGACCCTCATTAAGGCGCTGCACGCAAACTCCCGCGGCCGTGTAAAGGTCTACGGGAAGCTCTCTTTTGAGTTCACCACATCCAGTGGTATCTGACAGGACCGTCCTCTTTCACCTTTCCCCTTCAACTTCGTCATTGATACGACCATAGAAGGTTCACTACCAGCCTCTAATGCCTATGGGGTCAAAGTGCTCCCTGTGCCTCCGCTCAGACATCGAGTACGCATAGGACATAGCTCTTCTGAGATCTAACCCCGTGGTATTGCAAATAATATTAAGTAATCTAAATAATTCTGCCTCGCAGTTTAGCATGCGTTTCACACCTGCAGTGTAAAGTGCTACTGCAAGACTGGATGGGCTCGAACCCTAACCTCATGCTTGCGGATGAACCGATGGAGGTAGTAGACAAATTTGTTTACCTGGGTAGCTGTATCAGTTCCGGTGGTTTCACGAAAGATGAAATTTTCATCCGGATTGGGAAGGCCAGAGCAGCTTTTGTGAACCCGCGTCACCTGTGCCGTAGGCATGACAGCAGCTCCTCTGTCAAGGGTCGAGTTTACAATGTTGCGGTGCGCTCCAAATTACTACACGGATCAGAAACCTGGCCGCTGCGTGCCATGATTGTCAGCATTATTGAGAGCGTAACAACAGCGCTCAAAACTAATTCTAAACTATCGTACAATCATGATTTATTAAGAGGCATAATTTGGGGGAAAGAATAAAAGTGGATGGGGAAAGAACTTAGGGCTATCTAATTACAATCATACGGAGGTGCCCACACCCGCAAACACTCATTCAGAAAATATGGTCAGAAACGTCACTGATATCTCTTAGCAACCATATCTTGCAACGTCTCCAACCAGGGACAGTTGGGATCACGCACTTCCCATCCTGGTAAGCAAGTAGCACCGACAGCACCCAAACGCTGTGAGATGCGGCCTGTTCAAGCAGCGGAACTGAGACATCTTCGGGTTTTTAACAACCGTTGTCTCAAAATAACTCGTGTGGGTTGATGCCGGCGGATCCGTGACGGACAAATTAGAAAACGAATCTTTGGTTGTGTAACGGGGACTTCCATAGGAGAATGTGTTTATGACCAGAATCTGCGTCGGTTATATCATGTATTGCGTATGCCGAACCGTCGCTTGCCGAAGATAGTTTTGTATTCTGTGTCCGAAACGGAGTGGCGGAAACAGCGAGTTGGCCATTCTTGATCTGGAAGGAAGGCGTGAAAGAGACTTCGAAACGTTTAGGTGCTGTCGGTGCTACTCACCTTCCAGGATGAGGACCGCGTGACCCCTACTGTGCCTGGTTGGAGTCACTACAAGATATGGCTGCCAACCGATGTCAGTAGCCCTCTTGTTGTCAGCTTCTATCCAGACTGGCTGAGTGAGTGTTTGGAGGTGTGGGCACCTAGGTACGATTGTAGTTAGATCGCATCAAGTCCTTTCCCCACCCACTTTCATTCTTTTTTCACAATGAAGGTTCCAAATCAATCATGTCTGTATGGCTCCGAAGCATTAGTGCTGAATGCTAATGTCATATATTGTCGATGATGGTGATGATGGTGACAGCCTCTGGTGCACACCAAATTCAACCACAGTGCGTATTGTGTGACTTAAGCGGATTTTTTCCACGCCCATTCACTGTTAGATGGGTGCTTCTGAGGGTCAATCTTGTTGAAAGTGAGTTCATATAATATCCTTGACGATCCAACAAGGTCGAAGATGTCATTACGAATACAACTTTTAAAAAATTTAGCCCCTTTAGGTTAGAAACGTAGGAAGCGGTGATTACATCAGTGAGGTCATTCATCCTTGCCACACAGAACTCTTTACAGCAACATTGTGTTGCTCTTGATCCAGTTATCTCCAACGGAGACCAGTGCATTGCTGTCAGTAGTTTATTCACCCTGTAAAAAATCGTTCGACTGTAGCACCCTTTTGGTGTCTAACTGCCATGCCACCCGAGAGAAGCACGAGGGCTTGGATTTTTCCAGACCACCAGAACCTAGACAGGGGAAGTCGGGAGGCAGGAGTCGAGTTCGAAACTTGGACTTTCCAGGCGGCAAATTCGCGCTCTAACAATTGAGCCATCTCGCCCCTCTCACCTGTATGCAACTGCTGTTTGGTGGGAAGTTCACCGTGTTACCTAAACAAAATTGGGCTCTAATCAGCGCTCCCTTGTTACACATTTGTGCGCGGATTTGAGCTCTGCTGGCTTACAGTGAACCTCAGCTGAATCACTTTTACGCACCTTATGTTGCTTTGAACGATTGGTTGACGGGTTTCAATCTTATCTACTGTCATGGCCTGGGCGGAACGTAAATATCAGCAGTCTTGCTGATAACGAAAACAAGGAGATCGTGCTCATCACGCAACAGGTCACAATAGGATGTCCAACTGGTATGAACTGAAGCAAGTCAAGAAACCATTTTCGATGAGTTTCCTGTCCTAAAATTGGACTCCGTCAAGCTGCAGGATCAGATCGAAACTAACAATACGCTACGCGGTTCAAAATACTGGACTGAATCAGTGAAGGGATATTTCGAGATAGTTCACTGGTTAGAGCCCGACGTTAAGGATCGAGGGTCGGTTGTTCGAACCTGGCCAGGACATACTGACTGTTTGGGTCCATGGTTCGAACCCGGCCAGGACATCCTGACTGTTCCTGTCCAGTTTTGTGCAGCCTGACAGCTTGTAGGTCCTTCGGGTAGCATGGTAGCTTTGCACCGCAAGGGCGGCACGATTATTTTATTCTTTATAACCGAATCGGTACAGCTAGGAGATATATAAGCTGGAATAATAAATTCCATTTTGCGTTTCTCAACCCCGAGAGATAAAACATGCAACTGCACACCTAGTATAGTTGGTAACCACAGAGGTAGATAGGCACTTCTGGACTTCGGTGAACAAATTCTTCTTGATAAGCGCAGGTTGCGGATTCTGAATTTATTCGGTGATTTATAGAAAAACAGGTCTGTAAACAGAAGGTAGAGGTTTGTACTTCGACCTTTTGGAGACCTGCTCCTAAAAAATAGCATTCTGACAGGCCACCTGTTCTGCCAACGCAAGTATCGCTGCAATAATTCTGATAAAGTTTGTGGGCAGCAGGCGAAACTGACAAACTAAGGTTACTGTTCTGCCAACGCAAGTATCGCTGCAATGAATCTGATAAACTTTGCGAGCAGCAAGCGAAACTGACAAATTAAGGTTGCACTTTTGTGGAGCCGAATTTTCGGGCTTTAGTTTTTGAGTTTCTGAGCAATATCTATCAGCTATTGTAATGTTCCTAGGAAGAATCCAGCCAAAATATCCTGATGAACATCAACAAGATCGATCAGTTCCCTTAAACGATGATAAACAATAAAAACATTGTTACTAAAATAGTAATGATCACAAGCCACTGCTGAACTTTGAAATAGGCGAAATTGTGTATAGACGACTAAAACACAAGTGTAATCACTCAGCTGTAGCGCCCCTCTGCTGCCTAGCTGCCATGCTACCCAAAGGTCGCACGAGAGCGGGGATCCTGCCAAGTTGCCCAAGCTTAAACAGGGGAAGTCGAGAGGCAGAGATCGGGTTCAAACCGCGGATATTCTAACCAGTTAGCTAGCGCTTTGACCACTGAGCTATATTGAGCGATTCTTGGATATCTGCTGTACTCTCCATCCCTAAACGATGGTAATGCGGGTGAAAAGGAAAAATGGCTTTTACTGGTTCGCCATTCAAGATTGGGCAGAAGTTGAACGAGTCTAATCGAGTCAAACAGTTTACCGGCCAGTGTTGTCACGCAACCATGAGCGAAAATCTAACAGGCACGTGTGTTGTGTGGAGGAAGCATCGGAGAAGATTCTGATCAGATGGCACCACCTACAGCTTCCACTTGTGACTCTTCGTGCGTCCGACACTACTGATAACCCACTTTAATCAGCTTGACGAAATACCACTGGTAAGTTTGCTACAAACTTTTCGATATCTCACCGTCGGTTTCGCACTTCTTGGGTCTTATTCATTAGATACCATCCTCGAGATTTCACCAACCTCATGTTTTGCTTGAGGCCGAATGAAACGCAGTGCGAGAAATGCATCTTTTACACACCGATTTGGTATTAACGGGAGACTCCACTGAATCCCGACTGAGCACGCACGTTTTGGTTTGATGCGTCTGAGGAGAGCAAACGAAATTGTTGTCTTGAAAAATATTTTTTTCTCATGAGAGAAACTACTTACAAGGTTGCTGAAAACTCTTTGACAGCCCACGACTGTTTTCACCCTTCTTGGGGCACATCAGGTGGGCGCAGTTCCCGAGTTTCCGCCAACCTTATGTTCTACTTGAACTCTAGTTAGACTGTTTTCGAGAAACACACTCATTTGCAAATCAATTTGGTTCTCACAAAAGACTCAACTGAATCTCTCGTTTATGATATTCTACAACTGGATGTGTTGCACACAGGCCGCCTAATCTTTCAGTTGACACGTTATTCGAGACATCGCAGTAAATTTTCATAAAGGAACTACTCACGAGGTTGCTGAAAACTCTCCAACAGCCCACGACCGGTGTCGCCCTTCTTGGGACTCATCTGGTAGGCCCAGTCCCCGAGTTTCTGTCAACCTTAAGTTCTATTTTTTTCTCCGTAGCGGCTCAACAACAATGTCACACTGTTAATTTGTGATGGGACAACCCTTCATGTAACTCATCAGTGCTCACGTGCTCTAAGCTGACAGCCTAAAATTATTCTTGTGTTAGCAGCCAATTCGTTCATCTGCGTTCCGCAAAGCATCGTAAAATTATTGCTTTCCGACTAGACAGCCAGCACAGGAGACAATGATGTAACATCCTTACGGCTCCCCAGTGGGCAATAAAAGTTTAGATAGCCATCAGAATTGCGTGTGTGTCTATCTTTTCGCAAGTTTTTCAGCTGATGCTCACAGTGGCAGCATCTTTAAGAACATAATTAGGTTGGTCATTGATCGTTCGACAAGGATCAACCGCTAGAAGCCATCACACAAACGGTCAAATGACTTTCTGACGCCTTGGGACCCTTGTGATTAAACATACCAGTCTGCAACCAGAGGGGGCAGGGCGGAATCGAATCGAATTTGCCGGAATACAATTTATTCGCAACAGCTGTCTACGGCGATTTGGTTGGAGTTGAAGGCCGAAAACTTCACAGTTCAGCGGAAAGATTCTTGTGTTAGAGCCAAATGGGTTGGCCGTACCAGAAGCGATTTCCTTCGAATAGGGGTGTGGGTTAAAACGGGAGTTTCTTCCGGACTGACTTTCTGTCTTTGTATTACTGAAGAAATTTAGACATTCTTTGATTTTTCTGTCATTGTTTGCCCGGACCGAATTTAAAGTGAGTTGGCCTCAACAAATCGGAAAAATGTACAAAATGTACGACACACCCTCAATTGTGAAAGTACTTTGATGGAAATGGGAATGCTACCTCGGTATAGGGTGTTTGTTTGTGAGGAAGGTTGATACCACGAAGCATGAAACACACCCTTCTATCCAAGTTTTAAAAAAACCTTTTGTGAGCTCACGGTGGACTGTTTCACATAAGCTGGATTAAATGTATCAAGTAATCGGCAAAATGCACACCTGTGACCGAATAGTCCCTACATGTTGATTGTCATGTCCTTGCTTACATGACAAAAAAGGCTGTTCCCCAGAACACTGAAACGTACTTTACTGAAAACGGTGCATTATCATGTTAGATACTGAAGGAATTGTCGAAAGTGACCTCAAAGATGAACAGGCAGTCACGCACTGCCATGTCACCAGGTTTGGGCGGTCCGATAATTGGCAACAGGACTCCACCTGTTTCTCTTCTATCCGATTCTCTTGGGTCTACATGAAAGCCAAGCGTGACGAACACCGCCTATGAATGTCCAAAAATGCTTAGGTGTCCATTGGACAAGTCAGTCCTATCCATGTACCAGGCCTTCATTGAGGATAAAACACAAAAAGCATCGAGTTACCGTTCGTTAGTTCATCTCATGCTCACTTTATGAAGCCTAGGTGCGGAACACACTCCTGACAGCTTTTTCCGTATTGTGCTCGTTATGCAACCTAAGTGAAACTCTCGATCAAGTCTATCCTACTGAAATCTGTACACATGGTAGGATAGTCAATCAACAGTGTTTATGACATCATCCGATCAGTATGACCGTTCACTTTAAATGTGGGATAATGTCATGGGCACCTCGTTTGTAGGTTTAAATCCCCAAGAAGAAGAAAACTACTCGGTGGATGAATTGCGACAACTCTCACAGGATTGTTACACGGTGAGATGCCTTTTTAGCCTAAATCTGGAGTTGATATTCGCCCACTTCAATATGAAAGCCTACTGCCGAAAACTCAGATATCATATCCAGGTGGCTTCCGGGCGTCAGACGCTTTTCATCGAGACTCCACTTAGGAGGTTTGTGTCTACGAAAGCCTGTCACAACCATCAGTGACGTTTTCAGATACTATTTTCTTGAAGAAGTCAATCTATTTTACCTGTGACCCAGTTTTCCTTCACATGTGAAACGTTCACTCGTGGAAATCAAGGCGAAATTCACATCTGTGCAGGATGACGGCGACTTTGAAACTAGAATGAGGCTGGCTAACTATTTCACTAAATGTTTTCGGTAATTATACATTAGGTAATCGTTCCTCTTAGTTGCTTGTGGATCGTGATGCCTTGTCTCTATTAAAAACCAATTTTCCGCGCCTGATTGGGTTGGCCGCCGTGTGGCAATTGAAAGCACGTTTTAAAGAGGATAGTATCATCTGTAGCGGCGTGACTCATCATTATTGTCATCATCGTTGACAGTTACATCAGATGAGACCATCGGTGCTTCACTGCTCCCACGACGGGGGCGAGATGGCTCAAGTGGTTAGAGCGCGAATTTACTGACCGGAAGGTTGTGGTTCGAATCCGACCTCCGCCACTCGACTCCCCCTATCTAGGCTTGGGCAACCTGGCAGTATCCCAGCCCTCGTGCTTCCTTCGGGTGACATGGCAGCTAGGCACTGGAAGGGTACTACAGCTGAACGCTCCCACGACGATGCCCGTTTATTTGACTAAAGCCTTACAATGCAAAAGGAAAGGGACAGACAGGGAGAGCAACCTATGACTGCCCTCAGACCTCGAACACTCGGGCAATCTAGGCAGAAACTGAAAAAATGAGGGCCACAAATATCACTCAGGTGTCACTTAGTCCAGGGTCTCCAACCAAGCACAGTGAAGGTCACGTAGAGTCCATCCTGAAAGACAAACAGTACCAACGGCACCCGAAATTTTCGTAACATTCTTCGTTAGACTCAGCCATGAACAATTGAGTCCAACTCTGGCCTAATTGGCTGAGCCAATATCAGCGTGTTCACATTGCTGGACTACATCGATCAGAATCTTTTTGTTCACAACCGAGCCTTGTCAGACCGGTAGTCACGTGAGCGAATTGCTTTCATCTTTGTGTGACCCAAAATCGATTTGTGTGAAATATGATCCGGATCAAAGCAGCAATCAAAGTTGGCATCCTGATAAACGATAAACATCCAACAGGAACATGTAGCTCAAAAATATGAAAGTATGAACAGTGGAAAGCAAGTATTTCAGATTTCGATGCGCTTTGTTTTCAGTTCAGCTTATCAGAAACTCCGGTAACTGAATCCAAGGCAGTACTGCGAATGTTATGCCAAGCAGAGCTATGTTCATCGGTGAAGGCGGAGCTTGATATTCAGTTAGAACGTGTTAAAAAATACGCGGTGTATCACCCCATACACTGGCCGTATTAACATAGTTTAACTTTACCGCACATTGATTGTTTACACGGCTTTGCCTTTCATCGTTCCGCTAGCCTCTCAAGGTCGATTACTTCATAAGTTTCACTGTTGTTTCACTGCTGTGCGAATGTTCACCCTCTAACCATAGTCAAGCAGAATTATATAGGGGCATCTAATCCGGTGACAGTTGCTCTGCAACCTTGTGATAACCAGCTACTCATCATAGACGGTATTATCGTTTATTTTAAAGGACCTGGCTACAAATATAAAAATAAATGCAAGCGATGGATGTGGAAGGGTTACCGGAGAATAACAGATAAAATGAGACGCGTCTCATTCAAAGTTGTGCCAACAACAGTTCCGGTCAAACAAGATGTAAGAATGATGTAAGAATTTAAAGCAATACTGAATTCTCTTCAAGGCACGGTAAGCGCTAGCACAGTCAAGACTTGAAAATCAGGCACAAAGCGTCCGTCATACTGGGTCCGGTATGAGACTAAATGGCAGAAATGTACACTCAGCACCATGTACCACGCATAAAATTGTCGTAAGTACCCAGACAGCTCACAATGGCAAGCAAACCCAAGTCACTGGCTGTGACTTTAGGGTGACCAAGTCCAATAACAACTTTGGTGGATTGAGAAAATCTAATCCGTCGATGAGTAGTGATCATCGGTTGGTGGACCAAAAAGTCGACATCATAATCGATTGCATGTCCGAGAGTATGCTTACGTCTATCACAGTTGCTCGTCGCTCCTGAACAGCGATTAGGTCAGGCTTGAAGGAAGACCTCGATGTAAGTGCTCTCAACTCCTCGTAGGCGCTGCATCCCAGGCGACGTAGGCGATTCGTGAGTTCTCTTGCGACCGGATTGCGACGAGCACGTCTAACATCATGCGTCATCCAGCAGGACTGCAAAACGTGCACCAAACTCTCCGGTTGACTACAGTTTCACCGACAGAATATCATCGGTCCACAATGACCAAGCCGGGCGCTCCTTACTCTCATCCTGGACAGGTTACCCCGGAGCTGAATGCCGCGGATAAATATCCGAGGAATCACTCGTTCTGGAAATACAATCCATCTATTAGAAAGAGGCGAAGCGAGCAAATCTCTTAAACTGCGACCGTCAACGCTGATGTGCAGACTATCGCCCCGAGCAGCCACCAGCTCTTTCTTGGTGTTTACGCATGCACAATGGACTCGGATCGAAAGGCTGATATCCCGAACAATTTTACCAAATGAAGAATAGTTGACCACATTGCGTAGTAATCGGCACTGGGTAGAAAGGAGCTTTTCCATAGGCGTTCTTCGCTGCATCGGGATTGTTGCACTCAGACATGGGATACCAAGTCCCGCAAGTTGTTTACCGACGTGGATGTAGCTGATCGGGGTGTCCTTCGGTAGAGTAGCCAGCCATGAATATATAGTGCGATGTAGTCGTCCAACCTTTTGAGTGCCTTTCGGTGAACTTGGCCGAGCACGAGCAAATATGTCAGCCTTGGTATTAGGCAGTTCCTCGTGATCTCCATTCTTTGATGAGGCTTCAACGGGGTACGCGTCACCTCATTGAGCACTTTGAACAGTTGCTGTCGGTGGTTGAAGACCTCTTTCCCCTTGAAGTAAAGGGAATGCTCAAATAGAGGAAAATGTTGGTAGCTCAGATAGCGTAGATGGTGGTCGTTGGCTTGTTCGCTGAGCTGGGCATTTTGATTGCAAACGTTCCATCACCAATCGAGGTGACATCGTCAGTGCGTTACTGTGGAGCGTAGTAGTGCGTAGCGGTGGGTTGGTGGTTTTGCCCAAATGTTTTACGGTGTTTGTCGGAACCAGAGGAGTGATGAGTTACTCGGCGAAACAAAATTGTTCGATGATACTGCTGTTGCGCGATGTTTCCCGTCTCCACAAACCACTATCACTTTCGTCTTCCGGGCGTTTATTTTCATGCCAGCTCTTTTCAACTCGACCGCAGAAGCTTCAAGCTTCTCTTTGAGGCATGTCTGACTTTCTGCACACACGATCCAGTCGTCGGCGCAGGCAAAACAATCTACTATGGTGTCATGAAACTGGTATCCCGGTTGCGGCATCGACAATCCAAGAACCTCATCCATTGTCATGATGAACAATAATGAGGACAGTGTATCCCTTTGCCTCACACCTTTTTGGCAGCGAACCTCGGAAGTGGGTAAGACTGCCGCAGCATTCTCATAGGACTGTACGATATATCGAACTAGAGGTGACGGTGCTCCAAACGCCTCGGCAGTTCTGACGATTGTGTCATCCGAAACCGAATCAAACGCCTTCGAGATATCAGCAAATGCAAAGCTGAGATTAGAAGCATTCTATGAAAGGCGACGAAGCAGGGCATGTAACAACGACGTAGCCTCCAAACAACCGTCTCGATGTAGAAATGCAAACTGATGCGAGGGCACTTGGAATCTACGGTTTGAGCGATCAGCAAGCACCTTTGGAAAGCATCGGACAAGATGGATGACACGGAGATCGGCCTCAGTTGGTCCGGTGAAGTTGGATTTTGGACACTCGAAACTAGGGTAATACTAGGGTAATATTTGAGGGGCAATCCCCAGATAACAAGAGTAAATTGAAGTATCCATCGAGGGTGTTCACACTGAACCGCCGGAGCAACCTGGACGTGAGCGGATCCAGACCTGGGGGCAATCGCCAATTAAACGGCCCACCCGTAATTTGCTCGTTGCAACTGTAATCGAATGGCAACATTGCGCGACTTGGCCAGGTATTCACGTTTTTTGGAGCAGAGAGCATCTCTTTCCGTTACTGCTTGGCGTCCAGAGATTGGCTGCAGTTATCTCCACATGGATTATTCCATGATCCATCGAGCACAGCAGAAGCTGCATCTTTCCGTCTTTGTTTTAATAGGGTCTTAATAATGGGGTGCTTGGCNAATGTTGGTAGCTCAGATAGCGTAGATGGTGGTCGTTGGCTTGTTCGCTGAGCTGGGCATTTTGATTGCAAACGTTCCATCACCAATCGAGGTGACATCGTCAGTGCGTTACTGTGGAGCGTAGTAGTGCGTAGCGGTGGGTTGGTGGTTTTGCCCAAATGTTTTACGGTGTTTGTCGGAACCAGAGGAGTGATGAGTTACTCGGCGAAACAAAATTGTTCGATGATACTGCTGTTGCGCGATGTTTCCCGTCTCGACAAACCACCATCACTTTCGTCTTCCGGGCGTTTATTTTCATGCCAGCTCTTTTCAACTCGACCGCAGAAGCTTCAAGCTTCTCTTTGAGGCATGTCTGACTTTCTGCACACACGATCCAGTCGTCGGCGCAGGCAAAACAATCTACTATGGTGTCATGAAACTGGTATCCCGGTTGCGGCATCGACAATCCAAGAACCTCATCCATTGTCATGATGAACAATAATGAGGACAGTGTATCCCTTTGTCTCACACTTTTTTGGCAGCGAACCTCGGAAGTGGGTAAGACTGCCGCAGCATTCTCATAGGACTGTACGATATATCGAACTAGAGGTGACGGTGCTCCAAACGCCTCGGCAGTTCTGACGATTGTGTCATCCGAAACCGAATCAAACGCCTTCGAGATATCAGCAAATGCAAAGCTGAGATTAGAAGCATTCTATGAAAGGCGACGAAGCAGGGCATGTAACAACGACGTAGCCTCCAAACAACCGTCTCGATGTAGAAATGCAAACTGATGCGAGGGCACTTGGAATCTACGGTTTGAGCGATCAGCAAGCACCTTTGGAAAGCATCGGACAAGATGGATGACACGGAGATCGGCCTCAGTTGGTCCGGTGAAGTTGGATTTTGGACACTCGAAACTAGGGTAATACTAGGGTAATATTTGTGGGGCAGTCCCCAGATAACAAGGGTAAGTTGAAATATCCATCGAGGGTGTTCACACTGAACCGCCGGAGTAACCTGGACGTGAGCGGATCCAGACCTGGGGGCAATCGCCAATTAAACGGCCCACCCGTAATTTGCTCGTTGCAACTGTAATCGAATGGCAACATTGCGCGACTTGGCCAGGTATTCACGTTTTTTGGAGCAGAGAGCATCTCTTTCCGTTACTGCTTGGCGTCCAGAGATTGGCTGCAGTTATCTCC